AAGGGGGGGGGGGGATAAATCTCTCTACGGATTTAATTAGCGTAAACGGCAGCATGCGATAATTGCAATGCATCAGCACAAAAAGCTCTATGTACTATTTTTTGAAAGATCAAAAAATATGATCGGTAATGTGTCTATTGCTTATACTCAGTATGTGCATTCTTTAAGTGAATATTAAGCCCAATCTTACGAGGATGAGATTTTCTGAAAATTTTCAAGTCATCGCAAAACACGACGTATTTGCGCATAAGCGTGCTGCGGAAATTACAAGCCGGAATTGCGCGGAAATAACGCCCCGAAAGATCCGATGAGTATTACGCGCGAACAAAGTTATAACAGCACGATGCTGTTGCGTAACATTTTGTATAAAAAAAATTTATAAATAAGAAGAAATTTACGAAATCTTTTGAAAAAATATGAGTAAGACGATGTAAAAAAAATGCATATAGAGTTGATGATCAATCGGATTAAATATTTAATTTTCAGTTCTTTAAGTTTTTGGAATCTGCGCGATTATACGAAATTTGATTAAATCTTCATATTTAATTGGCAGTATTTTTTTATTTTACGTCAAATCGAAACTATCTCTCGATCTCTATTTTTGATATATTAATAGGTTGAATTGATCGGTCGAGGAAACTAAAGGGAAGATAAGTTATACGTATTTGCGAAACCGATTAGTTTATCGTTGCCGGGATAAGGATAAACGTATGAAGCCGTGGGCGAGATTCAGAGCAACTCTCTTGCATGTAATGTATACGTAACCTCGCTACGGTATATGCATTTCGAATTAAATCACGTGGCGTGATTGGACGAGCGCGTGGGAGAGCTAAGGCACGGTTGCATAGTGTATATGCTTGCGAGAAAACCTTTGGAACGTCAATACCACGATTTCGGAAATCAGCAAAATGTCAGCTCCTAATGGTACATTAACTTTAGATCTGTCAAGTTACTGAAATCGCAACGCAGAATGATTCTTTAACTTTGACTTTCTATCTCTTCTGGAAGAATGGAGTCAGGAACAAAAATGTACATTTTATATTGGAAAAATATTTGAGAATTGAGGGCAGATAAATTCATACATGATTCAAATAATTAAATAATGAAATTCTACACTATTATATATTTTTTAATCATTTTATATTGATTGTTAATGTTACGATCGAGAACTATTACAAACATTCTTTTCTCCATCAAATTGTTTTCTGCGCTGCGCGTTGATATTTTGACTAATTGCTTGAATATTTCGTTTAATATTCCAAAATCGTACTTTATACCTGTATACGTGCGGTATATCGACGTCTGGCATTGCGCCAATCGCATAGAAGGACTCTTCGTGAAGTTGGACTTTCTCTGCTCACTCTGATGACTTCTACGGACTCGCATAGAAAACTTTTTGAACCGTCGCACGCTAATCAGGCTTCCTGCTCCTATCATGAGCTATCCCTGACTTTATATCCTTACTCAGAGAGTACGAGTGACGCTTCAACAGTTCCATCCTAGAAATGATGCGAATCGTTACTTCGAATCTTGTCACTTTGTTGGTTTGGTACAATGTATTTATTAATTTTTATTATTTTTTTTTTAATTTTTAATTTAATTATTATTTATTTTTATTTTTAATAGAATGACAAATATAAGATATATACAATCAGTATTGTCTTTTTCCTTTTCTCCCTTTTCTTTATCTCTATCTTTTCTCATTCTTCTTTTATCCTCT